CTAAATGAAGTTTCAGTGTAGACTTCTAACAAATTGTCATGTTGTGCAACAGTCTCCTGCGTGTAATAGCTGCATTTCCAATAAGGATCTTACTTGGCAAAACGTTTATTTTGAACATAGCACACAAAAAGAAACAAACAATGACAATGATTGCAAAACAGTTAGAATATATAAAATGTCTTAATTATACAATTATTATTATTATTAAACATATAATTATATCTAATCATATTCCCCCCATATTTTCTCATGGACTGCGTAATCATTGCAATACTGGTGTTTGTATGTGTTAAATGTGTGTAAAGTGGTGTCTTTTGCTTTAATAAAACATATTGATCACAAAAAAAAGGGTCATTTTGCGATTTAGCAAATCTGAGTCTGCTGTTGAACCGTGCATGATGACGAGTCTGCTGGATCTCTGGATCTGCTGCTATACGGTTACGGCTCTGAGTCCGCACGAGTCTGCTATGTTTTGCACAGTGAGTCAGGATTTGCGAATCTCTGAGTCTGCTGTTGACTCGTACATAATATAGCCGCGGGAGCCGAGAGCCGGGTGCTGGAGGAGGGGCTATGCTCGTGCACATGACGAGTATGGATCTCTGGATCTGCTATGCTATTACGGTTAGGAGCCGTCGGCTCCTCTGAGTCCCCACGAGTCTGCAGGAAGTTTCACTGATCCGCGTCCCCTCCCCTGAGCCAAACGATAACTTCTGGCAGCTATCCTACTTGCTAAAGGGTAGATGGACTGGGGTACGTTGTAATGTGATTTTACATGTTATAAAGAGAGTAGCGAGTGACGCAATTTATAGTTTTAATTTGTACGTCACACCAAGTGTGGGACTCAAAGGACTCGGGTTAATGGAGAGGGGAGACTCGTCACGACCAGCTCATTTCTAGGATCCGGGTTAATGATCCGGATGAATCAGGACTCGCCCATCTCTACCTCACAGCTCACACCGACAACAACAACAATGGCCGATTGTGCTCCAGCTTCCTCTGTACCTCTTCGGAAGACCAGATTCCCAGTAGGTAGCTGGTCTCTTCAGTGGACCACTGCTGCTTGTTAAGTTTCTCCATCGTTAAGTTTCTCCACAAACTGGATAAAACGCAGGCTTTTTGTTGTTGTTCAGGAGTTGATCCCGCCCTTGCCCCTGCCCCCGCCTCGACGTAAGCGTGACGTATGCGGTGCTTTTGCTCTAGCCGGACAAGTTTTTGGTGCTTGAAACTAACCGGATTCCGGAGCTAAGAGGCTGCTCCGCTGCGGTGTGAACAGGAAAAACCGGTGTTTTTCAAGCTCCAGCTCCGAACCGGCCCTGAAACACCGTTGGTGTGAATGAGGTAAATGAGAGATATTTAACATATTGTTAGTCTGGTATCGGATCGCTAGAAACACTGCTGTCATCAGACTGACAGGGGCTGTTCCATGCTCTGCTCACCCTCCCGCCGTCCAAATGGACTCAGTAGCGCCCCCTGCTGCCGTGGAGCATATGTGAGTGTGTGTGTACATTTGTGAGAAAATCCTGAGCACAACCACGGCGGAATATTACTGTCACGTGAGTCACGTGACTTTTGGCACTAATATTCCGTGACAAGAAAAAGTTTTGTACTTGTAAAAAAAAGTGTTGTACTTATGAAACCTATGCTGAATTTGTCTCTGAAACATGATTTATTAGAAAAATGTAATGTGTTTGTTTGATAGATACGTTTTTTATTTGCAAAACTAAATGCATTAGTTTGGAGATGGTGTTTTGTATTTGCTAACCACACTGTGTTTGTTAGTGAATCATAAGGCATTTGTAAAACTTGTTTATGGAGTTATGGCAGGAAATTAGCTCCATATTATGTCCTCCACAATATTAAACAGTAACACAATATATTTTACTTAACCTGGGCAAATATGTAATGGCTGTTTAATGATTATATTCTTACAATATTATGGTTGTATAATATTAACTGATATGCCAGTCAATCTGCAGACCGTATCAGTTATTTCCTTTTCATGTGAATTGTCTTGCTTACATGGAATAAAAAAACAAAAAAAACGAAGTGAACATTATAAGAACTTATAATCATAGTGACATTCTTTGCAATATTCTAAGTTGTGATCTGGATTTTAGACAGTTGTGTGTCATAGTTTTCAAATGCATGCGGGGAAAAAATAAATCCAGTATAAATAATTGATTAATGAATCACCAAAATACGTTCAATTATTTGTAAAAAATATATATAACTAATATATTGAGACAATTACGTTTCAGTATTGTGTTAGGGTTAATGTGCCTAATAACAGAGAGAAGCCAAGTAATTTGGTTTGAAGGCTATTTAAAATAACTATTCAGTCAAGTGATTAGTAAACTCCCCCTTTCTTTGGAATGAAAAATACAGAAAGCAAACACTTACCTCTTTTTTGTGTAAAGAAAACACAAAATGCCATGAGCAGGATGACCAAAAGCGCAAGGATTATAAAAAAGATGAAAAGCTTCCTCCGGTTACAGGACCACAAATGAATCCACTTTTTCATTTTTACGTGCATTTGGTTAACCATCCAAAAGATGAAAAGATAAAAAAATGTCACCTGCTGCTCACTCCATGTATAGGTAGTTGAAGTATGATGAAGAATAATAAGTTAAATGTTCTTTGTTTTTTAGTTCTGCAGTAAGCTTTCAATAATCTCCTCTATTGATGTCTGCAAATTGGAAGTCAAGTTCAATCCTGTTGGCAGTAGTAGCCTATGCTATATAAACATTTTCTCTATCAGTATATCTACGCTGTCATTTATAATCAGCTGCTAAACTGAGGTTAACTAAAGCAGTGCCCTCCCCTCCCTGGGTAAACATTTTTATGTATTGTTGCATAGCGCTACAAAGATTTGTGATTTTCCCTGAAACACCAATGACGTTGAAGTTGACAAGGAATAATGCTTGAGTGGTTGAGGTGGGGTTTGAGTGTGTGAGACTGTAGTCAAGCCGAGCTGCTCTTTCATCCCCAATAATTAGATGACATTCAACAAACACTTGAAAGGCTATTGCTGGAATTGTTCATTGAAAATGTTATTTACAAATATATATAAATATTATTATTGTATACACACACATGTATATATTTATACTGTATATAGACAATAAATAAAAGTTATTTGTTTTTAGTAGTATATTTATGCATTCATTGTTTTGTTCTCCAAACATACTTAGTGAATTGGATGTTAAATAGTCATAAATTGCAATTAGTATTATATTTGCTTATTGCTTTATTTCTAGTGTTTTTTTCGATCCAATATTTACACGCTATGGTAATAAGCTGGACATAATGCAGAAGGTCAAACGACTCTCACTTAATGTGTGACACATTGAGCAACATATCTAGGTTCAAGGTTCAATGTTCAAGGCTTTTATTTGTCATACGTACATAGCTACAGTGTAGTTATGTCGATGGAAATCTTAGGTCACAGGCTCCTCCAACAGTGCAACACAATAAAACTGAAAAACTAAATAAATAGTGCAAGTAAATGCACAAAAAATAGTAAAATAGTGCAATAAGAGTCTATATACAAGTGATTGGAATATTATATATTAGATAGATACTTTGTAAGTTGCAGCCAGATGAATGTTATGGATGTTCTTTCAGAAGTTCAGGTGTTTAACAGTCTCATAGTCCGTATAGTCATTATAATGAAATAGCCAATCTATGAATAGACTGTTCAACGTGATCCCAGCTAAGTTAATAAGCAGTCTCAATAGCAACAGGAAGAAATTAGCTGTGACGAAGTTAAACACAAATAGATGTTCTCAATCTTGATCAACAAATGTTTTCCACACCTCTATTTGCATATTAGAAAATCATTTCTGAAATGGCATACAAATAGAAATAACTGCATATTTCCTCCTCACATTGTCATGCTAGATTGCAATAACTTCTTAAGAGTGCTAAACTTTTTTAAAGGAAGTTGAGATCTGACTATGATTCCCAAACAATATGCTGACATTTGTAATCACAGTTGTATTTGGGACCCAGTGCACGAACAGGCCAAAGAATCAGAACGACATTATTTTACACTGCTTAAGAAGAATTAAGCAACATCAAAAGCAGGAAGTGTTGTTTATGATTAACTTTCAAAAGTCACCTGGGTGTTGTCAAGTTTGTTTTGGCTCAAATTAGTATTTTTATCATTAACTGATTGAAGTTAATCATACTTGTGGTTTGAATAGGCCTGTTCAAGATAAAAATAACAAGTGGACAAGGAAATGCTTGTTCATGTATAATGCGGAAAGATTATCCTTTAAATATGAATTACGTTTTTTTTTCCTTTATGTATTGGTGGTACGTAAAACATGTTCTTTCTCTAGAGCACATCTAAAAGATTTTTGTAAAAAGGGCTGAAACAGTAATAAATGTATATATATTGTGTTAATGTGTGTTTGCCTTTCTGCCAAAGGTTTAAGAAAAGATAACATGCATGTAGAGTTGTCTGCAAGCTTTTTTGTACAATAAGGTATAAATAATAAGTTACAGCATGACGGGTGGTTCCTTAATTTGACTTTAACTAAGAGATATGTCACAAAGCAGTTGGGAACAGTAAAAACATAATTTACTGCATAATCCCCAAATTATTGTTAAACATTGCATTACTTCTGTAAGAGTCATTTTCTACTTTACAAAGGGTTTCGATTTTACGCAATTCAGTCTAAGGGTGGGGAATTTTCTACTATGCCAAAAGGGGAACTAAATACCATAAAGCAGGCCAATAAACATATCAGCAAACCCACCCTCTTTTCTTGTCTTTGACATTACTTACGTTCATTATTGATTTACTGACGTTCACGTGTGCACATTCAAATATATACAGGCCAAAGAAAAGAACACAGACAAAAGAAGTAGAAATAATTGAACAGTTTACGATTCAGGTTCAAATTAAACAAAACAACCTAAATGTCCGTAATGCTTTTGAAAGTGCTAAGACAGAGAATGATGGAAAAAAGCTGTTACTTCTCCGAAAACAAAAACAAAATTTTGAAATACTTTATTGAAGTCAAATAAACAGAACATTCACAAACTGTCTGTTGTAGCATTCCATTCATTAACATCATCCATAGCTATTTAATTTGATCCAGAATCAGTTTGAATCTGAATTTTTCAAAGCTTCCATCAAAACAACTATAAATACAACATTTTCTAAATGACGTTAACATGAGCAGCCCACCCAAAAAGTAAGGAAACAAATAGATCAGTTCTCTCTTTTCAGTCCCAAGCTTCAAATATCACACTTCTGCCTCTTCCCGTCCCTCCCGCAGACCATCCTCTGTTCCTGTTGCTGTCAATTCGGTTTGGGCTCTTTGGCGCTCGGCGTCTGTTATGGTCATCGGGTGCAGAGGGAAAAATCCTGCCAACCCTGCGGAGAGAAAGGAAGACGATAACTTTTCTAACAATCTCTTGCAGAGACATTGCTTTGAATTGCCAAAATCGTAATAGTACTAGACAGTAGTCATTCCTTAAGGTAGAAGATAATATACTAAACAAGAATTCATAAAAAAAAGAGTCAACACAGAGACATATATTTTTAGATGAGTACTGCCTTAAAGGTGTAGGCACTCATAAAAGTTATGTATGGACTTTCTTGATCAAACAAATCAGTATGAGCAGCACAGTTCCTCTAAGACAGACATACTATTGTGGAGTGTTGATCCACCTTTAAAGAGAATGCTCACTTAGTTAATACACACCTAGAAGTTTGGCAACTGGCTTTGTAGTGTGTGCTCCACAGCCGATCCAGTACTTGATGCGGTCGAAGTTGAGGCTGACGAGTTTCTCGTTGTAGATGTTTGGGAGAGGGTCGTAGGAACCAAGCTGCTCCAAATATTTACCATCTCTTGCCCTTTTGTTGTAAGCTGCCACAATGCGGTAAAAGGGTCTGTTAGCTTGTTTGTGGCCTGCAAGAGCAAATCGGAGGACAACGTAACCCCCATGGTAATTCTTCAGCAGGAGCGATGCTGCAGAAGGAAATAAGCACGGTCAAGCATTGTCAAATACCAGTATTGATGTGAATAGGGTGGACTAAATGTAAGACAAATATCTCTGGATACAGCAAGACTAATCAGAAGCACAAAAAACTCTGCTTCATAAAACGACCATTGAGTTAAGATAAGATGAGTGTGATAAATCAATTAGTTTTAGTGTGGATATTCAACAGACATTCACTCCTGTTTTATTTTTCAGTTCACACACTGTCCGTAGTCAGAGGACAGTTAGCGCACATTCAAGGCCCTCGTTCATTACCACAGTGATCATCAATAAATTACAGTTTGAATGCCACAAAACCACTGTTATTTCCAATACCTCTGTGCTAACTTGTAAATATGATTAAAAATGATGCTAATTTTTTTTTAAATAAATAACATTGTATGTGGCACACATGTTTCATTACTGATAATTAATTAGTTTAACAAAAATATTTAAACGAAAGACCACTTTCAAGGTCATGCTACCCATCGACTCCAACATCTATACTATTATACTATATACTATATACACAACACTGGACAAGTGAGACACACCTGTTTTAATACGATTTTAGGGCTTTTTCTATTTTATGTGAATATGTTATGAAAATCCAGCAGTTTCTTTATTAAGAAGGCAAATGTCCTTTAAATAGCTTCCATATCCTGTGTCTTAGTAACTACAAATCAATGCAGCACTGGGTAAGTAGAGCACACCTCTTTTTATTGGATTTAAGCCACCCTTCTCATTTATGTGATTTGTTTTGCTTCATGTTACCTATTGACTCCAAATCTATACCATATGCTATAACTATACTGGACAAATGACACAAAAATGTTTTTGATTTGATCTTTTTCTATTTTAGAAGAGTATTTCTATTAAGAAATTAAGCAATTCTACATTTTTAAATTAATTTATTTTCAACTTTCCATGTCATATGACCCTATTGCATTTTAGTATACCTTCAATGTTGTATTGACACATTTTTAAATCATGCCTAAAGTAAATCCCATATGACATTCTGACATTTAAGTGTGACAAATTACTTCAATTTCTAATAACACAATATTTGTAACTGGCACAACAATTACCGTCGGGATGAATAAAGTCTTATCTTATCTCTGCTGATTCTCTTTCTATTTATGTGACTACACCTATCCCACATGTTATGATTGCTTGTGTTGCTGAAATCTAGCCCCAGGCCCTGCTGCCACAAGAAAAAAACATTAAAGAATCATGAAGAGCCTGTTCACACTGTATACTCACATAAATGAACCATTGTGTTGGCTGGATTATCCTGCAACAAACGAAAAGTTACCTTTAAACCAATGTGTCTAAACAATGCCAGCAAACAGTGTGATACTGTCATACATTAATTACATATCCGATTAGTCTGAAACATCATGTGTGTCTACAGTAGGGCTAACGTTATGTAGCTGTTGCTAAAAGCTAACTTTTACAGCAAAGAGCATCTCCTGTTTCAACACTACGTAGTTTAAAAATAAGCAAAGAATGAACAACATACCTCAACGGATGTTGAACGTCGTAAAGCACAATGTTCCTAGATGTCGGTCCCTTTTTTTAAATCGCTAGATCAACGTTAATAACTCAGCAGCAGAAGAGCAGTGTGACATTTGTCAGGGGGCCGCCATGTTTAAACAGGAAGTGACGTAGCGGCCTCAACCTCATTGCATATATTTGACACCAGATGGCGCTGTTGCACTTCTCTAAACTAAGGACGCTTGATGTGAATGCTTTTGCTTCAGAGTGAAATATGTTTAAAAACAATGAAAATAATTTTAAATAATTTATCTCAGCCTTGAAAATATCCCTCAAATTGGAAAAAGTATCCAATCTCACATTGACATTGGTTTCACCATATATCATCCAATCATTATATTGTTATCAATGCTGAAAACAACAAGCTTCTTTCATACAAATTAATTGGCTATAATTATATAGACTATCTGCTGTCATGGAAAGACCATATAAGATAAGATAAGATAAGATAGAACTTTATTGATCCCAATTTGGGAAATGTTTACATGACATTTCCTTGCAACGTTTTTACTATAGTATACTATGTGGTAAACTTGTTCTTCAATTTAAATACAACACTGCTTAACCAAAGATAATATGATAAAATATTGTAGGTCGGCTCAATAGGGAACTCTATGAATCAGCCCACCATCATAACATAATTCAGATCTGACAACAAAATTGTCTCTGACCAAAACCATATCCTAAACAGTGAATTCACATTTTTACTATCAAATCAGATGCAGGGATTCAACATGTTATAAGGTTAGGTTGAACACTTTTGTGCACCAGTCAATCCTTAAATGAAATATAAAAAGGTAATACCATGTGCAATGTACGTTAAATATCAAAAGTTAAGCCTTACACATTAACAGAATCCGAATGACTTAATTGATTCCCAGGGAAATTGGTTGATAGGTTTGACTCATATATAAAGCCAGTTATGATATACAATTAGATAGAAGAGACGTTCATTTAGTTGATTAAAGACTTCTACTCAATTCAAGAAAAATATTCTTGCAGTAAAAATATATATACTGTTTCCATTCATATTCCTAATTACATTCAAGTGTTGTATGCTTATATTATAATCATATGTTTGCTGCTACAGGATGCTTTTGTATTATTATTATTATTATTATTAATATTGGCACTTTTAACTCTTTGCGGTGGAGCTAACTTAAACCTGTATTTACATGATATTACCCTAAATTTAGTGGAATGTAAGTGTACTGTATAATGTAGTGCACAACGGGAATGCTAAAGAAAGGTTAAATCACATAACCTAATTACATTCAATTTACCAAATGCATTCAAAAAAGTAATGATTTCTTTGCTTTTGGTGATAAGCAAAACACACATTTTAAGTTCTAAAGCTTCTCAGTGGTGGGATAAAGCTTTCCTTCATACCGCTTTCAGACAATACAATCAGCACTGCATAGTAGACTGCACATACCAAGACCCACAATTCTCTTATTCATTCATGTTAAATGTTAATATTATACTAAATCTTATTTGCAATAACTGAATGAATATTACAGTATCAAGATTTAGTAAAGGTATTTGAGCCAGTACAAATATAATATCATGATGAACATCACATTTAAAAATATGACTTTGTAAACATTATGATCTGTTGCTACGCTCTCTGGTTACAACTGTCAGACAGGCCATGATTCACCTTCTCTTTTCATCAATTTCTATTCGACATCGGTTGTGTGTTTTACATCGGCAACACGTTGAGTTTTAAATTAGTTTCCACTGTCGACCCCAGCAGAGATGAAACACTGATTTCCTAAGAGCATTCGTGAATTCAGGGGTCATTGCATTGCCTGATGTCGTCCGAGTGCACAGAGATTTCTGCCCACTGAGAGCCTGACTGCCCCCCCCCCCCCCCACACGCACACACACACAGTCATGGAACATGGTGATTTCACACTTCTGTTGTGTAAAGCTTGTTTTTCTGTGTGTGTGTGACAAACACATGGTTTTCTGTGAGGAGAGGTCACTGAAGACACAATAGAGATGGGCCCTTGTTTGTCATTTTGAAACTATCCCACTGTCCCTGCGTGACTCCTCATATATAGAGCTAGTTATGACTTATAGATCAAATAAAATATGCATTACATAAGAATATTTATGAAATGAATACTTATTTTCAATTAACTTATCAAGCTCTCATTTGACCCAAATTATGCTTTTAGTGAAGAATTCATACAAGGTTGCCCCTTTTACACATTACAATGTATTCTCTAACTAACGTATCTTGTTATCCATCTTCAATTATGACATATTTCTACACAGCTCTGTAGCTGTGATGCTACTGCACGTTATATTACAATTTGTCAAGGGAAACATGACACATAACAAGACAAAATGCTTTAATTACCAACATCAGAAGCACTTCATACTACACATTATTTAAAACTAATCTACTTGAGTTATTTTATCACACTATCCAAACACTCACACACTTATTTAACTGAAAAGAATCACAAGCGTGTTAGTTTAGAAAGAGTTGAACATGTTGTCAGTTTGGTCTGTCACAGAAATCATTCCAGCAAACCAAATGACCAACATTACACAACATGTTTGGTTCTCAACAACCAGGGCTGATATTTCAAGAGGAAAGGATCATCATTGAGTTGACCACGTTTTTCGGCGGAAACATCAGAAAATGAATGGGCGCTTTACACAGCTAGGAAGCAAACAAAATGCATCTTACATGGTGAATCGGCAATGCGTGATTATCTGAACGGTGACATTGATTCTAGTTGTGGCTCACTCTCTCGTGAGGACCCCATGCTCTTTGGGATACCAAGATGAGTTGTTCCTCCTCTAATCATCTGTGACAGCTCAGTTAGAGACGCTCAGATGACCAGATATTTTACTAGGAAAAACCAAGAGAAGTCTGCTTTAAACGTAGAAAGCTGCTCCAGACATTGTAGTCAAAGATGTCTGAGTATAATTTGATTATGTGGAAGAAAAAGAAAATGCCACTTTCATCTTATAAACACAGAGCTTGATCTGACATTGTGCACTTATGAAACAGAAGCTCTCACTACCTCTTTAGCTGAATCAAAACCATATTCAAAATCATTGTAAGGCCATGGGTTTGTTAAATAGTCACAAATGTTTTTGTGTATTTCAAAACGATATCGTCGCAAAAGTTAGAAATAGTTTTAACAAATGACAACTGCTATCTCTAAATATGAGATATGTGATCCAATAGTTAGAAAGAAGTGTAAATGTTGATTGTTTGAGAACTTTTGGCACAATAGTACGTCAGATGAGTGAAATGGTACAGATTAGAGGGATTAAAAGGAATGAAGGCCTTCAACTTTAGGTGGACAGTTGGATGAGAAGGTGTATACCCTTCTCATATCAAAAGTTCAATATTATGTTACAGCCAGCATTCATTTGTTTACTATCAATGTCAAATATCATCTATACTGAAGCTAGTAACTCAAGGAAAACCCCCATGAACACTGCAAACATTAAATGGCCAAGATACCAAATGATCCAGATAACAATACAGGAGGCTATGGGAAATGTCTCGGACCTGATCAAAAATTAAAAGACACAAAGTGACATTTTCATTTCTTATCTGTGGAACATTGAAATACCACATAAAAACCAACAGGGATCAAACATTAGTCCTGTGTTAACCACTCAGTCACCCCAAACTCTTGAACGCATTAAACTATTTTATGCTACTTACTTCTGAAGGCCATCTCTACACCAAGTAATACATTTTCTAAGGTAGATTATCACTGAAATAGCCGATCAAACTGCTAATTTACACCAAATGAGGTTTTAAGTTTGTTGTTTTAAGTGTATTTCTTTAAAAGGAACAGCATATGCGTAAGATTCTCAAGCTTGATTAGTCAGAATAATAGATCTTTTCAATCACAGGCGCCGTGTGACTTCTAGTCTGTGAGCTCTTTGTGATGCCCCGTGCTTTTTTAAGCATCTGTGTCCATCTTGAGCAGAGATAGACGTTATGGTTGCAGAGAGCACCTAATGGAAAGACAGGATTCAGTCACAGATGGGGGGTCAAGTGATCTCCCTTCTCTGCAAGGATCTTTCAGATGGTTGTGGGGAAACTAATTGCAATAGCATGCAAAATGGAGGCATTACTTTTATCTTCATTAACAAAGAGACTTTTTATTTTTTCTTAGATTTTTTTCCTCCAGGATTTTTCTTGCAGCCCCTGATTAAAGCAAAAATGATCTGTGTAAATTGAAAGGCATGTGGTTGCTTGAATTGGGTAACAAATCAGTACATTTTGTGGGTGATACACAACCTATTTTATTAGACAGTATTGTAAAATACTTATTTGAAATAGCTAATTCTGTTTGACCACTAATTATGTAGTAACAGTGGTAATTTACCAAAGCAAACTGTATTAGAATCTCGTTCCATTTTGAAACCTTTGCAGAGTATAAGGTCTATGCTGCATTTCAACCTGGACCATCATACACTCAAATGTTTTTGTTTCATCATTTTCATCTTGTACAACAAAACTTTTTAGCTGTGAAACTCAAACTCTTGCAGGGCTAAAACACATCTTATTAAAATGGGGTTGCGAACTACTATTTCTAGTAGGGTTTAACTACTTTACATTTTCTTTAGCACTGAAAAGACAACATTTAGCAAACAAATTCCATCACCATGTTTCAACAATGCTAGAAGGGGAACTCATTTTAGACAATTACATTTCCAAGGCCCATACAATTACTCATTATTCAGTTTTTATCAGTGGTGAACCATCAGGGCCTTCAAGGTATTCAGAGAATACCCTGGAACACTACAAAATGTAATAAAATGTATATAAAATGAATAAATGAGAATCGTATCTGTGTTGTTGATCTGCAATATTACAGTGTTACGTTGATTTGTTTGTCCTTCTCAGACCATGCACTACGCATTTCAGTGGTTTTGTGTTAGAAAAGAAAGCAACCAATCAGATCTTGTTCTGGGTCTCTGTGTAGAATATCCTTCAACCAAGGTATTCTATATCCAGGGGTGCACACAACTTTCTCAGTGAGGTACTCAGATGAGTACCTGGAGTCAGTGGGTGTTTCTCAATCGCCAGTACGCTTGCTTGGTA